TTCAAATTGGTTGTCATGAGCTTGAATGACCCAGTCGATGATGTATGTTACCGTAATGATACCGTACTTCTCATGCCAAATGAGTTTTGGCGGTCGTTTTAGGTCGTGTCTTGCGCTGTGACAACTTTGTCATCATTGCTTTCCAATCCTTCGGTAGACGAGAAACGCTCTGATCTCATCCAGCATGTGATGTCGAATGTCTGGCAATTACTGGAGTTAGAATCGAAGAAGGAACAGGTGAGCAGAAGTTCCAGTTGTCTACAAAAAATCTTGCAAAATTTCTTTTTAGCTGCGCACTGGCTTGGATGCACTTGCAGTAGATCTTATAAGTATTGTAGAGACATGGTTACGGTTACAGGAAACTTCTACTTTAACTAGGTATCCTTTTGACTTACCTGCATTGTGTCAAAACGTGTCAAAATTATCATGTATTAATGTTTTTAGGGAACAGATCATGACTGTTGTTAGCATGGTAGATGAACAGTTTCAGTCCAGGTCACAAAAAATAGTCACGCTTCTCTTCACGGCTTTCAAACGGGACGAAGGAGTTTTGAATGGCAGTGTAAGCTTTGTTTCACCTTGACTTTCCTACTTTTTGCTCATATATTTCCTTGTCCAGGACTTGCTGTTTATTCTGAAACTCTTCTACCGAGTTTTACTTTTTACTGCACCCGCACAAGATATGATACTATTAGAGAATGTTTATATCACTTCTAAAACACTTATTGATAAATATGGGTAAGTTTTAATCTGAAGAGTAATATGTTTGTCCCGAAAAACTGTGTTTAGGTCGACTCTGATTCAATCAAGAGCTTTATTAGACAAAATAGGGCCATGGGCGGGTTGTTTACTACATGACCATAGAAGTGCTGTTATAGGTAAGTTAACAAGTCTTTTTTGGTGTTTTGCTACTTGCCTTTTTTGCTGTCATTTTGGGCCGATTTCGCTCAGTGATCTTTTAATATGCTGAATTCTTGTTTTTTTTTCCCCTTTGTTACGACCATGACTACGTATCCACGTCTTTGCCGTGTTTTTTTGGGGAAAAAAGTTCTCATCGATGTTCAGATGTATTTACATATTGCGTCGATATAGCGACTAGTTCGCGAGATGATCCTCTGGTTAGGATGGGAAGTGAAGAAGTGCGATGTC